TACAAATTATAAATTAAGGTCCTGTGAATAACCCTTGTCACTATAACCTAAACCTGTTGTATTGTTAAACATACCCGTAGTGGGGGTATGTTGTCTTGGAACAGGATTTGGGTCAATTCCAGCCATCTCAGGTTGGTCACTGGCCAAAGAAATACTGCCTAGAGCTGACTGCTGACAGAATGGCAACGGTTCTTGATCTTTACTTACCGATTCTTCTGGTGGGGTACTTTTTCTAGCTTCTTCACTTCTCTGGAATGGAAAAGTCATTCTATGCGGTTCTGTTTCTGCATGGTCTGTCAACAAATCGTCTCTCCTAGTTTGGTCTTATGTCGTCTTTTGTTTGTGATTTCTTCTTCTTAGCTAGTGATTTGGATTTTCCTGTCGTTTCCTGTCTCTCTTTGGTGGTTTCATGTTGTTCCTGCTTCAAATCTTTAACTGCTTCAACGATTTTCCTATTTTAGCTAACTATGATGGCAGCTTTTGCACTTGGTTAACAACGCATGAATGACGTCACGAAATGACGTATTATGAAATGTGATTTAATTCGGAAACAATTAGGATTGATTCCGGAAAAAAACAGGGTTCTACTTTTATTATACCAGTTTATTCTCATATGAAAAACCTAACTAAATTGCTTATAAAACAAAATTACCTTGATATCTTGGCCTCAGTTTTATGGGTACATAAGTTCCTGATTCGCATTAGTTAAATACTGACATGAAAATTTACACTTGGTGCCTTGGGCAAAATTTACAGTAATTGTTCCTAACAGAATAAAGATTATAGAATGTTTGTTCCAACAGGAACAGATATTATGGCATTGTTTATGACAAAGTTTTCAGGGGAACTTTTGTTAGGCAAAACAAATATATGTTTACAACTGACTTTTTTAGATTGTCTTTAACCAAAATTTAGATAAATGTGGTAATCTGTAGTTTCATTTCAGGAAACCTGAAAAAGTTGAAGTTGTCAAAACATCGACTGGAGAGAGGTTTGTTGTACCTGTGAGAGTTGTCTACCCTGATAGTACATCATCATCAGAGAGTGGTACTCTTTATCCTGTATCAAAAAGAAAGTAAATATTTGAATTCAAGATATGTACAGTCTTTAAATGTTGTAAATTGTTTCATGTTCATCATAAATGATATATTTATTAGTGCCACACAGATTAATCCTGGTTAACAAAGCATGAATGACGTCACAAGATGACGTATTATGAAATGTTACTAAATTCAGAAACACAGTATAAAAGGCCTACAGTAATAAGCTTTTCGGACACAAATCGTTTCCGCTCTCTAAACTTTGATGCCCATTTACAGGCTCTAGCTATAAACAACAACATTGTACAAATTAAGATGCGATATCCTGTTTTAATAAGAATGCTACAGGTACAGCCAAACCTCCAAACCAAATCTTTGTATCTATGAAAGAATTTAGTAAAAGTTTTAACTATTAATTTTTGTAACAAAGTCCCTGATTTAATAATTTACCAGGTATACATAGATTAAATTCATTAAAATCTAAAACATCACTACAGACCCAGGCATAGCAATCTGTAAGAAGGGGTCAAAGGAACATTACAGTCCAAAAACAGTTCATACCAACACAGTAAACATTATGATATGGCAATATATTAGCATTGAAGCAATGTACAGCTTTTTTGTCCCCGTGTGATGCATTGCAAGGGACATAGAAATAAAGGGCCGTCCTTCTGTCTGTCCTTATGTCCAGTCTTGTTAGTGCTCTCATGTGTGCAATTCTTGCCAGACTTTTATAAAACTTATATTAAAGGTTTATATCAGCAGTGCTCGGACATGTTCAAAAATCAGTTCCGATCAATTATTTTTAAAAGAGTTATGCCCTTGCAAATATTAATTATATGGAAAACTTCATTGTTAGCACTCTCGTGCGTACAATTCTTGCCAGATTTTTATGAAACTTATATCATTGGTTTATACTAGCAATGCCTCGGACAAGTTCAAAAATTAGTGCAGATCAATTTGTTTTAAAAGAGCTATGCCCCTTGGAAATATTAATTATATGGAAAATTGCATTGTTAGTGCTCTCATGTGTACAATTCTTGCCAGATTAACAAATTGATATCAAAGGTTTATATCAGCAATGTCTCGGACAAGTTAGAAAATCAGTGCCACCCAAATATTTTTTGGAAAGTTTGCTAAAGCAAAAACTTTCCTAAGGCATCGGCCTCAAACCGGAAGTGACAGACTATCTTACTTTAGGATGTGTGTTCTACTCCTATATAATGTAGTACTGGTGTTTGACAACTAATTCTAAGAAGATGCTTTTGAAATTTTGAGTTACTTCTATTTTGATTACCTTACAGTTTGAATTAAAATGTACTGAATGTTCATTGATAATTCAAATAATTCAACTTCATTTTGAAAATGGCTATCACAAACACTACTTCGCGGATCTGCGCTGCGCGGAAAGCAAAATCAATACACATCTACACGAGACAGCAGTTTCTACGTTATGCTTTCATCGGTATTCCCCAGACATGCGTGAGATCCATATCAACAGGAGTACTATAATCCCGGTTTCAGGGGTTTCCTCCCGTCCTCCGGTTGAAGAGAAAATAAATACCGTGTTTAAAATATTTCATGAATGAACATTTTTCGAAGCTTACTACAATTTTACCATGTTTATTAAAGACGTAAAAGCCCGACCGTATCGAAAGTAATGGGGGTATCTCATCTCGGCCCACAACAAATTCAGACTATAATAAACTCGGCCTATTACATAATCGGCATCAGAAAATCGGACTATAAAAAAATTCATAATTATACTACTTGCTATGAAGTCTCCCAAACAAAGTTTGGAGACTTATTGTTTTGCTCAGTTATTATTATTCTTCTTGAGGTCTATTTAGGGGTATTTTGGGGGGCCAACAGATTTACTATAGAACCCTATGGGATTTATTTTTTTTAAATTTTCAAATGACTATAACTTAAAAACAGTAAGTGATAGACACACACGGTTTTCATTAATGATCACAGGATCATAAAACAAATCAAATGAAATGAAATATAGCGGGAGTCCCTCTGAAACAGCCCCACTCCCTCCTGTTTGAGAACTTGTAAACGGTTGAGATCCCCACCCCTAAACCATATATATTCTTGTATGGGACAATAAAACAAATCAAATGAAATATAGAGGAAGTCCACAGGGGTCACCCCAACCCCTTCTTTTTGAAAACTTGTAAACGGTCGAGATCCCCACCCCTAAACCATATATATTCTTGTATTGGACAATAAAACAAGTCAAATGAAATATAGGGGGAGTCCCTGGGTGTCACCCCACCCGATCCTGTTTTGAGAACTTGTAAACGGTCAAGATCCCCACCCAGAAACTATATATATTCTTGTAAGGGACAATAAAACAAATCAAACTGAAATATTAGGGGAGTCCCCGGGACCATCCCCTTCCCCCTTCCTGTTTAAGAACTTGTAAACGATCAAGATCCTCACCCATAAACCATATATATTCTTGTATGGGACAATAAAACAAATCAAATGAAATATAGAGGAAGTCCCTGGGTGTCACCCGCACCCCATCATGTTTTGGGAACTTGTAAACGGTCAAGATCCCCACCCCAAAACCATATATATTCTTTTATGGGACAATAAAACAAATCAAATGAAATAAAAGGCAAATCCCCCTGGGGTCACTCCCACCCCCTTCCTGGGAATGACTAATTATGGGAGCTTTGTTTGGGAGACTTCGTAACAGCATCATGTTACAATTATATCTTGTATTAAGTAATTTTTTTTTAAAGTCGGAAAAAAAGTTAAACACCCAATCTACACATTTACAACCTTTTTGAAATATTACACATCTACCGTTGCAAACTTTCCACAGGTGCTATCCAACACTTTGATTGAAGAATGCCCCTTAGAAATATTAATTTTATTGTCCCCCGCGTAACGCGTTGCAGAGGACATAGAAATACCGGGCGTCCGTCCGTCCAGTCTTGTTAGCGCTCTCACTGGTACAATTCTTGCCAGATTTTTATAAAACTTATACTATAGGTTAATATCAGCAATATCTCGGACAAGTTTTATAATGGATGGCTGATCGACTTCTTTTAAAAGAGTTATGCCCCTTGGAAATATCAAATTTATGGAAAATGGCCTGGTTAGCGCTCTCACGGGTACAATTCTTGCCAAATTTTTATAAAACTTATACTATAGGTTAATATCAGCGATATCTCAGACAAGTTCCATAATGGTGGCTGATCGACTTTTTTTTTAAAGAGTTATGCCCCTTGGAAATATTAAATTTATGGAAAATGGCCTCGTTAGCACTCTTACGGGTACAATTCTTGCCAGATTTTTATAAAACTTATACTATAGGTTAATATCAGCAATATCTCTGAAGTTCTATATTGGTGGACGATCAACTTTTTAAAAAAAGAGTTGTACCCTTGGAAATATTAGATTTATGGAAAATGGCCTTGTTAGCGCTCTCACCGGTACAATTCTTGCCAGATTTTTATAAAACTTATACTATAGGTTAATATCAGCAATATCTCGGACAAGTTCTATAATGGTGAACGATCGACTTTTTTTAAAAGAGTTATGCCCTTGGAAATATAAAATATGTGCAACGCGGGGGACATTGGAACTCTATTCTTTGATTGAAAATTGCATTGTAAGTGCTCTCATGTGTTCAATTTTTGCCAGATTTTCAACAAATTGATATCAAAGGTTTATATCAGCAATGTCTCGTACAATTTCAAAAATCAGTGCCAATCAAATATTTATAAAAGGGTTATGCCCCTTGGAAATAATAATTATGTTGGAAATTGCATTGTATTTGCTCTCAAGCCTTCATTTCTCTTAAGATATTTGTAAAAAGTTTTAAAGAACAAAAAAAAACCTTGTTTTTTTTTATTTAATACCCTTGGATAGATAAAATATGTCCATTAGAACTTTATTGCTTTTATACTAGTCAGTTTTCTTATTCTATTACAGTATATGTAGTGTTGTATTCCTCTCAGTGTTGCAGTATCACCACTGGTTATCCATGGCTTTAGGCCCTGTCAAGTTTGGGGCCTATACTGGTACCATGAATATACTGTTGATATTTTTTGGTATTTCATCACTTCTTATGAGTACATTGATTGTTTACATCCTAATTAACCCTGAAACTAGAGACAGTGTCTACATTGATATGAACACATTTGTATGGAGTGGCTTTGTTACTGCCATGACTTTTGTATTAGCAGCAATATTTGAGGTCATGTTTCGTAATATTAGGTCTGGATATTTGCCTGATATTGTCAAATTTAAAAATCAGATGAATGAAAATGAGGAAAAGCCTACAAAAGTTAATCCCCTGCATAATTATTTAGAAGAGAAAAAATACAATTTTGCCTCAAAAACAGAAATTAACTCGGAAGAGAATCTTTCTTCTGAGATTGAAAATGATGAACCCATCAAAAGTGCTATTGACCTTCCAGTGCAGGAAAAGTTAAAAAAATTGGATAATAATTCCTTTCAGAGTGAAATAAATATTAATCATGAAAACAAAGATTCAGAATCTGGAAATAAATCATGTAATCCAGAATTTAAAGATAGTAATTATAAAAAGTCCAATATGTCTAATAGTGAGTCAAGTTCTAAGAATGAATTATTGGCTTATCATAATAGGAGTCAAAATGCAAATGTGAGTCCTAATTCTGTTCAAAATAGAGGTACACAAACTATGTTGACAAGAAGGCATAAAACTCACAAAGGAACATCACATCAAGGTATCTTAGTTAATAAACATCAAAATGCTCAAGAAATTCAAATGTATAGCAGTAGCAGAAGCAACTGGATGTCACAGTCAGATGAAGCTGTTCAGATAAGACAAGTTTTCATTACAAGATCTGAAGTAATTACTAGTAATACGGATACACCAAACTTTACTCACACTGACACAGGCTTAACAATAGGAGATAATTTACTAACTACTAATTTGAAGAAAAGTGATGAAAGTAAAACTGAGGAAAAAAGCATGCTTCAGCCTGAGACTAAGGTGCAACACAGTGAGAGACCACAAACAACTTGGGGTGATATTGGAGTGTTAAAAATAGATGATAGAGGAAATAGAATTTTAATGTCAGCATCACAAGATGAAATGAATGAGATTACAAATGGTAAATATTCAGATGCAATGTTAAAAAAAAAACACACTAATATAAAGTGGTTAGAAAGGATCTTGTTTTCTTTCTACTTTTGAGTGCAAGTTTTTATTCAAATATGGAAAATTTAACCATTTTTTCCTTTTAGAAAGTTTTAGAAAAAGACAGCTTACGTACATGCAGATTTTACAATTTGTTTTCCTTTTGAGGAAACTGTGGAGAAAAAATAAGACATTTAAATCTTTGACCAATTGAAATGTAAGATGAACTATATATTATATATCATTGTGGTTATTTTACATCTGGATGTGGATAATTACAGCGCAGCAACTGTTCACAGTTATCTTTGCACTGGAAGTAGAGTGGTGTGATTAGTTGCACAGGGGAGGGCATTAATGAACCCCTCTTGTGTCTTTGTATGCACTTGTTTCTTGTCCACAATCTATGACAGTGTTTGGACTAGTAGATTTTTAGCTCACCTGGCCCGAAGGGCCAAGTGAGCTTTTCTCATCACTTGGCGTCTGTCGTCCGGCGTCGACGTAAACTTTTTACATTTTGAACTTCTTCTAGAGAACCACTGAATGGAATGAAACCAAACATGGCATGAATGTTCCTTATGAGGTGCTGACCAAGTGTTGTTACTTTGTATCGGATCCATCATCCAAGATGGCCGCCAGCAGGGGACTTAATTTAACATAGGACCCTATGGAAAATACATACAAATGTCTTCTTTTAGAGAACCACTAAATGGAATGAAACCAAACATGGCATGAATGTTTCTTATGAGGTGCTGACCGAGTGTTGTTACTTTGAAGCCGATCCATAATCCAAGATGGCCGCCAGCGGGGGACTTAGTTTAACATAGGACCCTACGGGAAATACATACAAATGTTTTCTTTTAGAGAACCACTGAATGGAATGAAACCAAACATAGTATGAATGTTCCTTATGAGGTGCTGACAGAGTGTTGTTACTTTGAAGCCGATCCATAATCCAAGATGGCCGCCAGCGGGGGACTTAGTTTAACATAGGACCCTACGGGAAATACATACAAATGTCTTCTTTTAGAGAACCACTGAATTGAATGAAACCAAACATGGCATAAATGTTTCTTATGAGATGCTGACTGAGTGTTGTTACTTTGAAGCCGATCCATAATCCAAGATGGCCGCCAGCGGGGGACTTAGTTTAACATAGGACCCTATGGGAAATACATACAAATGTCTTCTTTTAGAGAACCACTAAATGGAATGAAACCAAACATGGCATGAATGTTTCTTATGAGGTGCTGACCAAGTGTTGTTACTTTGAAGCCGATCCATAATCCAAGATGGCCGCCAGCGGGGGACTTAGTTTAACATAGGACCCTATGGGAAATACATACAAATGTTTTCTTTTAGAGAACCACTGAATGGAATGAAACCAAACATGGCATGCATGTTTCTTTTGAGGTGCTGACAGAGTGTTGTTACTTTGAAGCCGATCCATAATCCAAGATGGCCGCCAGCGGGGGACTTAGTTAAACATAGGACCCTACGGGAAATACATACAAATGTCTTCTTTTAGAGAACCACTGAATTGAATGAAACCAAACATGGCATGAATGTTTCTTATGAGATGCTGACTGAGTGTTGTTACTTTGAAGCCGATCCATAATCCAAGATGGCCGCCAGCGGGGGACTTAGTTTAACATAGGACCCTATGGGAAATACATACAAATGTTTTCTTTTAGAGAACCACTGAATGGAATGAAACCAAACATGGTATGAATGTTCCTTATCAGGTGCTGACCGAGTGTTGTTACTTTGAAGCCGATCCATGATCCAAGATGGCCGCCAGCAGGGGACTTAGTTTCACATGGGACCCTATGGAAATACATACAAATGTCTTCTTTAAGAGATCCACTGAATGGAATAAAACCAAACATGGTATGAATGTTCCTTATGAGGTGCTGACCGAGTGTTGTTACTTTGAAGCCGATCCATAATCCAAGATGGCCGCCAGCGGGGACTTAGTTTAACATTGGACCCTATGGGAAATACATACAAATGTCTTCTTTTAGAGAACCACTGATTGGAATGAAACCAAACATGGCATGAATGTTTCTTATGAGGTGCTGACCAAGTGTTGTTACTTTGAAGCCGATCCATAATCCAAGATGGCTGCCAGCGGGGGACTTATTTTAACATGGGACCCTATGAGAAATACATACAAATGTCTTCTTTTAGAGTACCACTAAATGGAATGAAACCAAACATGGCATGAATGTTCCTTATGAGGTGCTGACCGAGTGTTGTTACTTTGAAGCCGATCCATAATCCAAGATGGCCGCCAGCGGGGGACTTTGTTTAACATGGGACCCTACGGGAAATACATACAAACGTCTTCTTTTAGAGAACCACTGAATGGAAAGAAACCAAACATGGCATAATGTTCCTTATGAGTTGCTGACCAAATGTTGTTACTTTGAAGCTGATCCATCATCCAAGATGGCAGCCAGCGGGGGACTTAGTTTAACATAGGACCCTATGGGAAATACATACAAATGTCTTCTTTTAGAGAACCACTGAATGCAATGAAACCAAACATGACATGAATGTTCCTTATGAGGTGCTGACCAAGTGTTGTTACTATGAAGCCGATCCATAATCTAAGATGGCCGCCAGCGGAGGACTTAGTTTAACATAGGACCCTATGAGAAATACGTACAAATGTTTTCTTTTAGAGAACCATTGAATGGAATGAAACCAAACATGGCATGCATGTTTCTTTTGAGGTGCTGACCGAGTGTTGTTACTTTGAAGCTGATCCTTCATCCATGATGGCTGCCAGATGGGGACAATGTTTAACAAAGGACCCTATGGACAATACATACAAATGTCTTCTTTTAGAGAACCACATACTGAATGGATTGAAACCAAACATGGCATGAATGTTCCTTATGAGGTGCTGACTAAGTTTTGTTACTTTGAAGCTGATCCTTCATCCATGATGGCCGCCAATGGGGGGACTTCCTTTAACATAAGAACCTATGGGAAATACATACAAATGCTTCTTCTAGAGGTGCACTGAATGGAATGAAACCAAAACATGGCATAAATGTTTCTTATGAGGTGCTGATTAAGTGTTGCTACTTTGTTGTCGATTTACTGTTCAAGATGGCCACCAGGATTTTTTATTAAATTACAGGACCAATATTAAACCAAATTTGGCCTCACTTAATATTAGGGTATCTGTTATGATTTTAATCTATTTTTACATGATTTCCAAAACCAAAGTAGAATCAGGTGAGCGACACAGGCTCTTGAGAGCCTCTAGTTTAATATCTGAGAGATTTTGCTCAATTTATTTATAGAAATTTTTCAATAATTTCCTCAATTGGAGAAATTTAGATTGGTATAACCAAAATATTACACTTTTAATTTCTCAGTGACTGCTGCTTAATCCCAATACTTGTCACATTGACCATATTAACTGATTTTGTTCTGACAAAAAAAATTGTAAAATTTGCCATTTTGTCATTCTCAGTTTTGTTACTACTTTCATATTGCATCATTGTACAAAAAATTCTTGTGAATGATTACTGATTTTCTTATGCCATTTCAAATTGGATCCCAAGTATAAACTGTCTTGAGGGACTCATTCAAAACAGATTTATTTCATTTTTGCATTCCAGTTAAATATGTAAAAAAAACTATAAAACTGAAAAGAATTTTGAAAATAGATTAGATATTCAATAGAAAACTGTTTGAAAATATATTATGTTTTTTCTTAAGAATTACTTAATTTTAGATCTCGTTGCAATAAATGGAGACTACTTAAAAAAACAGATTCCTTTTATTTTTCAGCTTCTGACAGTGGGATTACCTGTTTTCAACAATTTGTTGAGGATTGGGATGAAACAGAAATAATGTCAAATGATGATCTAAGAGATGAATGTAGTATGTTTTTGAAACAGCTAGTTAGCCATATAGGAAAGCAAGAAAAGTATTTAAAAATAAAAATTAGACATGGTGATACAAGATGTTTTACAGGATTAGAAGTCATTACAGATAGATGGTTTCAGGCATTGAGAAAAGAGAGTTTCCAACTTGTCATTTGTAAGGCTTTTCAGAAAGGTAATATTACAACAAAAACTTGCTCAACTTATTCCTTATTTTCGTATAACTTGGGTAAATCGGAAGTAAAAGTACCTAACTCAAGCAGGGATAATTTTGGTAAATCTGAAATAAAATCACCTGACTCAAGCAGGCATAACTTGGGTAAATCTGAAGTAAATTCACCTTACCCAACCAGACATAACTTGGGTAAATCTGATGTAAAATCACCTGACTCAAGCAGGGATAATTTTGGTAAATCTGAAGTAAAATCACCTGACTCAAGCAGGGATAATTTTGGTAAATCTGAAGTAAAATCACCTGACTCATGTAGGCACAATTTGAGTACCGGGTATATCTCATACCTGTCAACCTCTGAAACTGAAAATGCAGGTCATGAATTTCAGAATAACTTTGTTATTCTTGCAACAAAATTGGCAGAATGCAAGACATAGGGATAGAGAGAACAATACAGCAGCAGTTGCATAAACTATTTGAATAAGGCTTTATATTTTAGAGGGTAGAAGATCTTTATGCTTCATACCTTGTTTACAGATGCCTTATGTTACCAAGTTTCCATTTGTCTTATTTCCATTGTCCTTGACCTTATTGTCATGGTTCAGTAACTTCTTGAAAAAATGTTTAGTTTTTTTTGTCATGTGAAATTCTCACTTAATAATTATGAGTAATAAGAAAACTATTTTTGGTATATGGGTTTCTTTGCAAGGTCTACATTCCGTCAGACATTGACCTCATTACATACATCAGTTATCAAGGTTTGATTATGTCCATTTCTTAGATACTATAAGCAGTAGGTCAACTATATGTAGTGTATTAAATGATCGTAAGGTTCACATGTCAGTCTGGCAGGTTTCATCTACCTTGACCTCATTTTCATGGTTTATTGGTCAAAGCTAAGTTTTTGTGTTATGGTCTGTTTTTCTATAAGCAGGAGATCAATTATATTTGGTGTATGTGATCTTTTTAAAGACTATCAATAGTGGTTAGTAAAGCAGGCGAGACATTTCAGTGTGTGCACTCTTGTAATATTTATCATATTAGTAAAAATTACTAAAAGTTAATTGAGGTAAACTTTTAGTTTTAATATTCTTGTTAAGTTTCTAATATTATAAAGGAGTAGCCCTGGTAAGACCCCCTTTTGGCCCCAAAATAAAGCATTTTTACTAATTTATTAAAATGTAAACTTTTAGCTATTTATTGGAATTTAAGTAGAATACTCTTGCTACATAAATATTGGCTGTTTTTGATAATACAATGCACAAGCATCAGGTACTAGCATCATTAATTCATGCAAAATTACTGAAATCTTCACAATTTTAACATTTGTGGTATTTTAAGACGGTTTTTGTTGAGCCTGCGACTTTTGTCGTAGAAAGCTCGACATAGGGATAGTGATCCGTTGGCGGTGGCGTTAGCTAACTTCTTAAAAGCTTTATATTTTAGAAGCTAGAAGACCTGGATGCTTCATACTTTGTATATATATGCCTTATGTTACAAAATTTCCGTCTGTCTTATGTCATTGTCCTCGACCTCATTTTCATGGTTCAGTGACTACTTGAAAAAAAAGTCAACATTTTTTGTAATGTTAAATTCTTTCTTATTATGAGTAATAGGATAACTATATTTAGTATGTGCGTACCTTGCAAGGTCCTCATGCCCGTCAGACAATTTTCATTTGACCTCCACCTCATTTCATGGATCAGTGAACAAGGTTAAGTTTTCGTGGTCAAGTCCATATATCAGATACTATAAGCAGTAGGTCTACTTTATTTGGTATATGGAATGATTGTAAGGTGTACATGTCCAACTGGTAGGTGTCATCTGACCTTGACCTCATTTTCATGGTTCAGTGGTCAAAGTTAAGTTCTTGAGTTTTGGTCTTTTTTTCTAATACGATATGCAATAGGACAACTATATTTGGTGTATGAAAATATTTTATGATGTACATGTCAGTCTCGCAGGTTTTATTTGACCTTGACCTCATTTTCACGGTTCATTTCTCAGTGTTAAGTTTTTGTGTTTTGGTCTGTTTTTCTTCAACTATAAGCAATAGATCAACTATATTTGTTGTATGGAAGAATTGTAAGGTGTATATGTCTGTCTGGCAGGTATCATCTGACCTTGACCTCATTTTCATGGTTCATTGGTCAATGTTAAGTTTTCATGGTTGAGTTTGTTTCTTAGATACTATAAGCAATAGGTCAACTATATTTAATGCATAAATTGATTGTAAGGTGTACATGTCTGTCTGGCATGGTTCATCTGACCTTGACCTCATTTTCATGGTTCATTGGTCAATGTTAAGTTTTCTTGGTTAAGACTGTTTCTTAGAAACTATAAGCAATAGGTTAACTATGTTTGTTTTATTGAATGATTGTAAGGTGTACATGTATTTCTCGTTTGGTTTAACTGACCTTGACCTCATTTTCTTGGATCATGTTAAGTTTATGTGTTACCTGTAGTAAAGCTTTATATTTAGGACTATCAACATAAAATCAATGGTTAGTAAAGAAGGCGAGACATTTCAGCGTGTGCACTCTTGTTGTCTTAAATGGAAGTGACCGCACTTGTGTTCAGTCTTAATATTCAAATATATGTTGTACTTAATGATATTACAAAACATATAAAGGTTGAGACTGAACACGAATGCGGCCACTTTCATTTTAGACAAAAACCATCTGAAAAGCGACGTTTTATGTCAGATTTGATAGATTTTCCATATTTAAACTTGAATTTGAGCGTCCTTAATGACCAATTCAGTGCAAATCTTTTACAAAAGACTAATTGAATCGATTGAAGTAGACACTTAAGTGTTTAAAAAATGTCAAAAATTTTTGATCAGATGAACTTCAAATTTTAGGCCAAAATTAGTCTTTACTGGACCTTCTCCTTTATACAGAATTCCCTGCATGCACATGTTTCATATTTATGTGTTTTATGCATGGCCTGGAAAAAGCTGTTAGTCTAAACATGTCAGTTTTCAAATGCAAACATAATGTTTTATCATTAGGTGTGACAAAAGCAGTACTTCAACATAATTTAGAAACCATGCCAGAGATAGACGGTAAAATTGCTTCCTGGACAACACAGAATGTGTCCACTATTATAGAACAATGTTCTGAAAAGTTGAATATCCAGAATAGTCTTTCAAAACCTGACATTGAGGAAATATCATACAAAATAATGGTGAGGATCTTCAATTTGGCTGATCGATGGTGTCCAAGAATTCTCTATCCAGGTAATGTTACTGCATTCATACCTGCACCTTTTAAACTTTTTTGAAACTAGCATTACTGATGAGTCTTTTGTAGACGAAACACATGTCTGATGTACAAAATTTTAATCCTGGTATCTATGATGAGTTTTTCTGCACAACCTCATTCTTCTTATAAAACCAGTTCAGGCACCAACAAACATGAAAATTCTTTCTAAATTTGATTTTAATTCATAGCAAAATAACCTAAATACTTGATTGTGTATATTCAATTAATGAATGAATTAAACAGGAGTGAGTTAAAATATATTTGTAAAAGTTTTTTAACATTATAATAGTTCATTGACACTTATTCTAATTAAGCCTTGTAAAAAATCACTTAGAATTTATATGAAATACAATAAAAAGAGACATAAAAAAAAACCTATTAGATTAAAAACTTTTGAAACATATGATAAACATACACCAAAAAAGGATATAAACATGTAATAGTGACAAGAAATACACAGGAACAACAGCAAGAAAGACCATCATTTCTTCAAGCTATTTTTAGCTCACCTAGCTCAATTTTCATCTGTTGTCCATAAAATTTTCTTTAAAATTTTTCTCTTAAACTGTACATTGAATTGAAAACAAAGATTGTTTGCTACATCTATATGATGTCTACTATGGTCCTGGAAGATCAACCAAAATGGTCACCATAGCTAAAAATAAAACATAAGGTCAAACTACAGTATTGGCTCATATATAAAAATGGTGAGCAATACTAAGAGAAAATTGTACTAAGGTTAAAAATGGTCAGCAGAAACAAACATTTTTACCATAAAATTTTTTTTTAAATGTGTCCACACGTTTTGAAGTTATTGTCTGTTAAAAGTAGATTTTTTAACTTTTTTGGGCATTTCTTTGCTATTGTATCAAAAACTATGGGAGCTTGGAAATTGCAAACATGATCATAGTGGCAAGTTCTTTCTACAGGAAAAATTTTATATACCGGTAAATTACAAAACCTCAAATACAGACTCTGTGGCTGAGTAGTCTAAAGTGAGGTTCTGAGTGTGAACCTGGCACATGGCAAGTGCACTGAAACCGATCTTAATGGACTAGAAATGCCAGTTTTCTTGTGGAAGGTCAATAATTCTCTAGGGGCACTCTGGCTTCCTCCAACAATAAAAACTGGCTGCCATGATATAACCAAGAGTGTTGAAAATGGCATTAAACACCAACAATCTTTTAGGCAATCAAATATTAGCTTCTTCACCTTCTTGCTTCCAATATCTGACTGGATTTATTATTAAAATAGTCTTTAGAATAACCTTTCTCTGAGCCTAGTGTCTCATCAAAAATATGAAAAGGAGGAGGAATGATAAGTACCGATTATCAGGTTGTCTGCATATTGATATTGTAAGATATCAGCTGCGAGTCACAATATGAATTATTTTGTTGCATGAGCGCAGGGAACGAGTTCAAAGGGCTTCATATTGTGTCGATCAGCTGAATATCAATATGTAGACAAATTGATAATTGATTTATCAGATTGTATTTGTGTATTTGCATGATAGAAACAAGAGTTTTTCTTTGTTTCACCTGCAAACTGGAAGATGATGTGATAAGTTTTGGTAAAACTTATAAACGTCAGTTCATTCATTATGACGTTGGTGATATGTCAGGTTCAAAGTTATTTAGGCCAGGTCAACATATTTAACGTCAAAAAGCCGAGATATGCAATATAATGAAGAACTTAGCAGAATGGTATAGACAGTGGGAACACCGATAAAAGCCATTATTTCACCCCTGAAATTTCAAATATAGTAAATAGATTCAAGACTTTCAACATTATGTTAGTTTTATTGATAAATGAACCAGTTCTGTTTAAGGTTGATGTAGGCCTCTGTGTTACGAAATTTTCAAAGTGCTACAATATCAAAACAGTAAAAATACAAAATAAAAGTGATTTGCCATTTTCTACATATACCAAAGGGAAATGTTCAAAGCAATACTGTTAAATATTTCAATGCATTTAATAGTAAATGGGGATTTGGTGGCAAATAAAACCAAGATTTTTGAAAAGAAACCCATAGACTTTATTACAGAGATTTTCGTTTTGAAATTGTAAACATAAATTACTTGTTTGTTCATGATGTGCTAGCGTTTATTGTCTACAAAAAGTCCTAAACAACCTTTACAATCCTGGCGTTTATTGTCTACAAAAAGTCCTAAACAACCTTTACAATCCTAGCGTTTATTGTTTACAAAAAGTCCTAAACAACCTTTACAATCCTAGCGTTTATTGTTTACAAAAAGTCCTAAACAACCTTTACAATCCTGGCGTTTATTGTTTACAAAAAGTCCTAAACAACCTTTACAATCCTGGCGTTTATTGTTTACAAAAAGTCCTAAACAACCTTTACAATCCTGGCGTTTATTGTTTACAAAAAGTCCTAAACAACCTTTACAATCCTGGCGTTTATTGTTTACAAAAAGTCCTAAACAACCTTTACAATCCTGGCGTTTATTGTTTACAAAAAGTCCTAAACAACCTTTACAATCCTGGCGTTTATTGTTTACAAAAAGTCCTAAACAACCTTTACAATCCTGGCGTTTATTGTTTACAAAAAGTCCTAAACAACCTTTACAATCCTGGCGTTTATTGTTTACAAAAAGTCCTAAACAACCTTTACAATCCTGGCGTTTATTGTTTACAAAAAGTCCTAAACAACCTTTACAATCCTAGCGTTTATTGTTTACAAAAATTCCTAAACAACCTTTACAATCCTGGCGTTTATTGTTTACAAAAAGTCCTAAACAACCTTTACAATCCTAGCGTTTATTGTTTACAAAAAGTCCTAAACAACCTTTACAATCCAAAACACATTGTGCTGAGTCACTTAAGTCGACACACCCTAGAAGGTGTACTTGAATAAGTCCATTTTTGTTGAGCCTGCAACATTTATGTTGCGAAAGCGAGACATAGCGATCCTAGATTCCATTGTCAGCGGCTTCAACATTTAGGTTCAGTCTGTGGTTAAAGTTTTTTTTAGACATCAATAACTTTGTCAAAACTTCATGGAATTTTAGGACATTTGGACAGAATCTTGTTTATGACCAAAATACAGTATCCCAAGAAAACTTTTGAAAATATTTATTTCAGTTTTCCGTGTTTTACTGATAAATGGACTTTGTTTTTATTTTAAAGTTAATAAGTAGATACAGTCTGATTTTAAAGTTTTTTAGTCATCAATAACTTTGTCAATCCTTCGTGGAATTTTAGGAAATTTAGTTATGAACAAAATACAGTATCCAGGGCAAAATTTTGAAAATATTAGTTTTCATATTTACGTATTTAACTGATAAATGGACTTAGTTTTTTTTTTTACACTTAAACGATTGTAGCTACGATTTTCATTAAAATTATTTTTTTAATCTATATGCCGGATTTTGTACAAAAAGTTAATTAAGTATAAATAAAACCATCACTGTTTACTTTCCATTTAGCATTTAGAAGCTTTTTAACGTTTTACACCTGAATTTAATTATTGTCTACCAGACAAAAATTTCGATGTTAAGCCAACCCTTATTCATATGACCTATGTTGACCTTAACTCGGCATTCCTCAATGCGCAATCGCATGTTGTTCCTCGAAGGGAAAATGTCAAACCAAGGAATGTAAACACGGGAATGAAATGTGTATTTACAGTTTCTGCGAGAAAAGGGAACAGAAAAGAGGTGCAGACAAGTTATTGTAAATTGAAAATAAATAAAAGTGATGAGATTGGTCATTAGAATCACTTAAAAGACCTTTCACACAGGCAAAGTTACAAAGAAGTAGCCGCCCGACAATACGACAGTTTGCGAAATGTTTACATTTCTAAACTATTCCAGATCACATGAAAACAAATCGCAACGTAATCAAATCATTATTGTCCAAAATATGTTTATATATGTGGGACTCAAATCTATGGTGGGTTCCTGATCTATGGCAAATTCCTAATCTATGGTAAATATGACGTCACAGACGCCAAACAAATCACAAATCTATGGCAGTTTTTTGTTTTCTCCAAATCTATGGCAGATTTTGATATAACGTAATTTTCCGCTACAATTACATAACGTCATGTAACTTCCAAGCCGCCGCTAACGATGGCGGTTTTGTTATAAAGAAGGAAAAGAAAAAGCAAGTTTTCAATTACCCTAATTCATTTATATAAATTAAATTATATTTCAGAACTAAAGTTTACGTGAACGGAAATCCCTGCAAATGAGTCTGATTTGGATGAAATAAGAATACAAGCGAACAAACCTATAGTCATTCGTAGCATCAAAATTGCTGGTGCAGGCAATTTCACACAAATAAATATGTTTTAGGTGTTTACGATGTTTATGTTTCATGTTTGTTTCCGCTCCTTGTTTTCTTGTTCTTGTGTTCCTTTTGTTGCCCTCTCCCTTAGTTGTACGAGTTTTTCTTGTGCATTTTGGTTTGCTTTTTGCTTTATTTTCATAATTTTTCGTTGTGATTTGCTGTTTTTTTATTTTTATTTTTTTATCCCTATGGTTTCTTTAATTTTCTTTTACATGTAACATAACCAATAGCATTTTGTCAGCTATTTTGTCAGCTATATAAAAGTGACTACCTGTACTATTGTAGCAAATAATATTTCTTGAGATTTGGAAAAAAACAAATCTGTCATAGATTTCTAAAAAATGTTTACATTATTTTCCGCTATATCTATGTCGAATAACTGTACTGTTAGAGAAATAAGGATTTTTTAAGAAAGCAACGTTTTTGAGGCAAGTGTTTGTTCATTACAGAAGTTTGACTAAAATCGTCATCAGTTAAAAAAGATTCCTTAAGATTCTTAACTTTTTGGGTTGTTAATGGACTTGGTTAAATGAAGGATCAAACAGGTACCATGCACAGAGTAGGAAATGCTTATTCTTCGGGGCACATCATTTCACTCCTAAAGTCTGTGCTCATTTCACAAATGGTTGTTGATATGCTTCCTAGTTGTACTCCTAATCCGTTATTCTTGTACTGACTTTTACTTAAAAGCAGATTTTTCGCTACCTTTAGACATTTCTACTTGTTAAAGTCAACCTTCAAATCATTGGTCGGATATGTACTGACTGGTCCTCCATTTGCAGAAAATCTGCCATAGATTTGAAAACTAGAAATTTGCCATAGATTAGGAAACTAAAAATTTGCCATAGATAAGGATTCAAAACAATCTGCCATAGATTTGGGATGGCATGACGTCATATTTACCACAGATTAGGAATCTGCCATAGATCTGGAACCCACCATAGATTTGAGTCCTACATATATTTACGGGCAGTAATCTCCCAACTTCGCAGAATTTTAAAAATTAACTTCTTACAATTTTAAAAATACTATTCTACCGGTGTATCCTTCATCATGGCCTCAATTCAATTCACAAACACGTGTATACATTATTGGCCTTGTTTTGTCATACAAATGTAAAAACAAGTGTATAATATCCCCATTGTTTGAGAACCTTGGGTTCTAATAATATGCAGCCTTTTGTTATATTTTGTTGTTTACATAATTTGATAAATGGTGTCAAATATGTACGTTTAATTTAAATAAATTTTCAAATACGTAAGAAAACAAAAAGCACATGTTCATATCTATTTATATCTGGGTCATTTCACTCGCTGTGTCGGCGAAGTTCGGGAAGTAAACCCGATGCATAATTAATGAGATGAATAGGCACGCAACACGATATTAATTATCAATTATTAACACTTCTGCTGTTTATATACAGCGATCTTATTGTTAATTTTTAGTTCATATCTTTGATTTTAGTAGCTTTAAAACTTGGTCATAATTTTGTCAAAATCGTAGCTACTATCCCTTTAACAAATAGATACAGTCTGGGGTTAAAGTTTGTTACACATCAATTACTTTATCAAACCTTCATAGAATTTTATGAACTTTGGCATAAGCTTTTTTTATGATTAAGAGATAATGTCTGAAGCTAACTTTTAAAAATATATTTTTTTTAATTTTTTTATGATAGATGGACTTTGTTTTTTACAGTAAACATTTACAGACAGTCTGGGATTAAACTTTTTTGACATGACAAATTTGTAAACCTTCATGGATTGTTATGAAACTTTGACAGAAGCTAACCTTCAAGACCATGAAATAGCATCTAAAGAAAAATATTGAATTTTTTATTAAATTCTGTATTTTACTGATAAATGGACTCACTTTTTAAGTCAACATTACACTTTTACACAGATAGCAGCAATTGCAGGGGAGACACAGAGTTTCATGGAACCCCTTGTGAATTTTATACTAGTTTTAACCAATTTCTTTATTTATATAGTTGTTTTATGGAAATCATTGCTAGCACTGCATGCAATAATCCTCTATCTTTCAAGCATGGAATTGTCAAATATAGGAGTACATGGGGAAATGCTGCAGATTTTTTATAAAATTTCCATAATTTAGTATTGAAGCAATAAAAGGGTACATTATCCTTAATCTGGAAATTTGAGTGCAGAAAGGTCACTTGTGATTTCACAATGACATCATTATCTTGTTGAAAATTACATATTTGACCTTAAATCATTTGAAAATGTCAGTTTCACACGAAATGTCTTATGAACATGTTGTGTTTTCTTACCACATCAAGACCAATCAGACCATTGAGCTAATGTGAAAAGGAAACAATATGAAAATTACTAATTGACTTTTTTTATGTACATGAAAAATGTTATGCTATATACAATGTTTTCTGTTGTAGATGGAAGACACCTTGCAGAAGAAATAGGATTCAAAACTGGACTAGAAGCAGTTGTATCTTCTAAAGGTAGCCTATATCAATTTCAGGAATCAATATCAACTTCCAGTAAGTATGGTATCATCAGAGTGAATATCATAATTTGCACTGTGAATTCATTTATTTTCATGGGTTCCAATTTTGTGGTTTGAAAGATTGTATATTGTGGAAACTTGATTTCATGGTTTTGTCAAAGTGCATTCAAACATATCTAGGATTTGTGCTTCCTTAAACACTTAAATTCATGATTAACCTATACCCACTAAATGTACACAAATTGGTACCCTACGAATTATAATGAATCCACATTAATACATGAAAAGGATAACAGGAATTATCAAAAAAAATCAGTACAACAATTCAGATATTATTGTGTGCACTTATTATTGCTATTTTTGAAGAATGGGCAAAAATGCAAGATTAATTATTGCGATTTCAGGAAAATTTGTATACAGATATAAATATCACAATGCGAGTTGTTATTATTGCAATACTCACCCAGTCGCATTATTCGCATTAATTGCAATAATTTCTGAATTTACAGTATCACTAGCCCTGAAGTTTCCACTGCTAAATTGATTGCCGTTAATATTGTTACGGTAAGGGGATAGGCTTTAGGTTTGGACTACAACTTTTTCAGGCTACTCAGTAAACACTCACTTCTGCTTTCACGTTCGTTGTTTACTGTAAATCAACTTCTGTTGACCCTTATTTCACACGTTCCTACTTTATTTACCTTTCTATTTTATTTGTGTAAGGCCTGAATATTGTAACCGGGGCCCTTACATGCTAAGAGTAAGCTTAGTTAAGTCCCCTTTGTCCATTTTCCGACTTGACAGAATGTCAACATTCGCACTCTCCGCCATTTGCATCAGCAACTATATTGATGTCAGTGACTCATGACCTGAGATCAGCATCCAATCAGCTTTACGTAATTAGCCCACATTCACCATAGTGGCAAAAGACTTTGGTGTGACAGATGTATAAAAGTGAGTGCAGTCCGTGCACATCAGTCTTCAAGGAGACTGTGGCCCGCTACAAGGGCGTTCACTCCTAATACCAAGGAAATTACCAGAGCAAACCAAATACGCCCCAGTGGATGCAACCCGTAAAATACACGTACCTTTGATATTATTTGCATCCCCATTGTTTAAATGGACCAAATCATGATTGACCTAGATAGATATAGGAAGATGTGGTATGAGTGCCAATGAGACAACTCTCCATTCAAGTTACAATTTATAAAAGTAAACCATTATAGGTCAAGGTACGGCCTTTACTAAGATGTTGACTAACGACTATTGTACCAAAAAGGGGGGTCCCTGTATATTTTAATAATATAACTGAAGTGCTCTGGTGGGTTTTATGTGATTTACACTTTGTAGGATATTAAATGTTTTGTATATAATAAATTATAAAGCTTAATTAATCTTGTTATCTGTTGTACAAGTACAGAATAAGTCAATGTTAATGAGTTTCTGAGCTACCACATTAAAACCAGTGCCTTAAGTAGCTGTTTGTCTGCTACACTACTATTGCCTTCATCATTTTGCAAGCTACGCTACCATTAATAAATAAGTTTGTAACCTAATACCAGGTTTGATAGATATTATGATTTAACCAATGACATACCGGTAGTCATCATTGTGTTAACCTGCATAAATACTTTTACTTATGGGACACACCCACCCGTCCCGTAACAATATTATACCCCGATTCTGGGAATGGAGGCTATATTGCATTCACCCTGTCTGTCTGTTTGTTTGTCCATCAAATGTTTCTGTAACACTGTTCTCAGGTACATGAAAACATAATGACAGCATATTTGATCAGCAGCTTGACAGTGATGAGTTGTAATGTGGACACCTATTTACTGTTTTCCCATTCTTTGAATTACCAATGGGGGTATCTGTTGCACCACATGTTTATTCCTGTTTATTAAAGATGTTACTTTTGACAGCAGAAACGTTAAGAAGCATTTTAAAAATGGTGATATAAATTTTGGTTAAAAAGGTTTGTGTGTGTGACATTTTCATTTAGGAATAATTTGTATATATATATATATGGATTTCATTTAAAACATGAACATGTTACAAAATTTTCTTTATGTGCATTATTGATTAAAGTAAAAGGATTATGTTCTAGAAAATAGTACTTTTTAACCATACAGAAACTACCCCATGACATTTCTATTTTGTATTTGATTTCTGTAACTACAGGAAATTTGAATTGTTTATTAAAACTTGCAGTGATTCATATTCAGACACAGTTAGATAGAAATAATAATGGAGGAATTATTGAATCTTTGACAAGTCAAGCATCAATGAGCACATTGAATTCTTCAGAATATCTGATCCTTTATACCCTAGCCTCATGTGTAGTCAGATTGGCCTTTCAGAACCAAGACTGGATTCTCAGAGAAGACTGGGACAAAATATCACAAGGGTCAACACCAAGATATTTAGATGAGTTCTTTAGGCAACAACAGTTAGAACTGTTAACAGTGTGGAAATTATGTTCCAATGTTGTTTATGAAGCCCAAGAAGAATTAAATAAAGATTATGAAGATGCAAGTTTTGTTTATACTCAGTTTTTGGTCCGTCAGCTAACGTTGTCAATTTTGGAAGATATTATAAAAGATGAGAATGAGAAATTCTGTGAAAGATACAAAGAATTAAGGTCCAAGTTGTACAAACAATGGAATAAACAGGTATCTGAATAATTTTTTTTCATATGAGCCACATTAGTATGTTGTATTTTACTGTGGTTTTTTTCTGCAGCGGAGGGGGCATTGAGTGTTACCCTTGTCCATCTGTACGTCCGACCAATGTGATTAAACTATTACACAATGCTTATTACCACAAAACATAGATCAAGTTGGAATTTGGGTGGCGTTACTTTTACTGTTCTAGAGTTATGCCCTTTATAAATGGAAAAATTGCTGAATTTTTCGTTTCCGTTCTCAAACTTTAGTTTGCCTCAACAAATTGTTATTAAACTTAATTTTGCTGCATATATATAAATAAACATATTTGATGACATTTCCTTTGAAAACTTTGAGCATGCTTTCAGGAACTATAAGCACATGGTACCATATTATATTAACTAACCCAGTTCTGTGAATGGTGAATTTTGATAACCCATGCTATGAGGTAGCAGTGGGTATATAGTTTGGACCCCATCCATCAGTCAGTCAGTTTTGTTTTTGGATGTTATATATATAGATTGCAACCTTATTTGGATATATGGTATCATATAGTAAGAGGAAGCTCTCTATTGATTTCAAAGTCACCATGTCAAAGGTAAATAAACCAAAATGTGTGCTTACTGTAGCATAATGACATTCTGAAACAATTTGGTTAACACTTCATGAAACTTAAAATCAAATTTTAGTACAATGCCAAAATTTTTATTGTTGTCCCCAAAATTTTTAAAACTACCACATTTCCATTGAAATGGTAACATTCAGTAGGATAACTACAAAAACTCTGAAGTAATGAGTGTAGCCGTTTTTCTGCACTCTACTCTTAATTTGAATAAAAGGAGATGTGGGGTATATGTCCAAATGACAAAAATAACCAAAATAAATCTAAAGGGCAGATGAGCAGGTGTTGAAACAATACAGCTAGCTCTTAGTGGTAATTGTTACAAGTCTATTAAAGATGTGAATAAAATAAACAGAAACAATCAAAGATCTGCCATCAACGTAGACTATTACAATGTATTATAAACAAGAGGATATATTTCGCTATTTTTTATCAAACTTATATTATTTTAAAACTGCTGATTTTTTGTTATAGGGTTTCCATCAGACACTTAACACAATGAATTACCTAACAGAGGTATTACTGAGTAATTTTATATCCAAAATTAAAGACCAGGACCATGTCACAGACGAAAGTTCACCTTACTTCATCCTCAGTCAAAGTCATTCATTAGACAGGATCAAAACAGAACTTGGACATACTATTATGACAACTGTAAAGAAAAACCTATTTGGTTACAGTGGACATCTATACTTTTTAACTGAGGAAGATGAACTTGTATCATTGATGGATAGAGGAGATTTTCATATTGCTGAACATACTTTCATCATGGTACGTAAATAACTATCAAAGAAATTAACTATGCAATATAAATTTACTCTGAGGGTTGGTTAAAGCTTCCCCAATAACCAAGGTTACTGACATTTTCACTATTGGGAAATATAAAACAAATTTCTAATCAAATAATTGAATTCACCCCATAAATGCACCTAAATTTTGCTGAAATGAAGTTGTTTATCTTTCAATATCACAGGTAGTAAAGATTCATCACCCAATATGTCCCAACTGCCATGAAAAATTAGTTGTTCCTTTAAATACATTTTGCGGGTGACATAGACATACCTGGCTTCCATCTGTACACCAGTCCAGTCTTGCAAGCACTCTAATTGAAGATGTCAGACAACCAATTCACTCACACAAATTAAGAACATATGTTAAAGTAGCCCTACTCTGACAAAAAGCAGTGCTTTTGATGTCATTGTTTACTTAAACTAACAAACAAATTTGCAGAAATAAAACTGTTGGTGAGAGACTATTTTGAGCTAGAATTTACTTGTCCATAATTTTGCATTAAACATTTAGGATTAATGTGCTCTGTAGTATACTTATTTATGAATTCCTGAAAACCAGAGGTTATTTTTAGTAGTACAATCGACTCTCGTTATCTCGAAGTCAGCCTGACCAGAGAAATATTTCGAGATACACGTAGTTCGACTCAAACGAAAACCGGAAGTTTGACAGACCAAGGGACACAACTCTTGCTTAGCTTGGTAAAGCTAAAATAAATCCGGATGAATATGGAAAGGGGATCGATATTCTGGTATCAGATCGATGTATTTGTATGTCATGGTCTTTCATTATTATTATTATAATAACATTATTTTTACTTATTCAATTGTTTCAGTTACAATTTTTTTCTATGGCTCTTATCCGAGAGAGTAATTTTCCAATCGATCTTAGCGTTATTTAGGCCATTTAAAGTTGACAAAATTGTTTATTCTCGGAAACAAGATATTTTCGAAAATTTTGATTTTTCTTCATTTTCTTTCATCTCACTCTTTCTTTTCAACAGAAAATACAAGATTAAAGACGCCGATTGAGTAATTTTTAAGTGATCACCAATGGAAGTCGTAATCCCCACTTTATACACATCCAAGCGCATCAGTGTTAATCACGATTAATTGTTTTTGTAAAGATTTTAAATACCTTTTCATGAACATTAACAATGTATCACTAATTATTTATAAAATTTTTATAAAAGATAATCTTAGGTAAACACTCATGGAAATAGCATGTCATAAATCAATACAGTCAGTGACCAGAAATTTAATTACACGTGTATTGTCAGATTAACTCTTTAATCCATTTAAATCCCGGAGGTCATGTTTTGACATATGTGTATTAGTTCGAGATAAATAATGAATTTTGAAAAAAAATGCTTTTGTGAACCTTGGGACCGTAAATTTAGTTCGACTCAACCAAAATTTCGACTCATCCAATTTCGACTCATCAGGAGTCGAAATACATACATTTATATGGAACAAAGTTCGGGACCACGTGAAAACTTCGACTCATCCTAAATTTCGAGACAACGAGAGTTAACTGTAGTTGACTTCTGAATGGTTGTGTTTCACTACAAGACATAAACAATGGTTGAAAATTGGCATATAGAAAGGTGATACATGTACAATTCAGGATATAGCTGGTTTCTATGAAGTTAAACTTACGGTAAAATATTTAGAAAGCTGTGAAAATAGAAATATATGGTTGATTATATAGAGGTTTGGAATTGGTGATCTGTCAACTGAAGGGTAAAAAATTACAGATGCAACATTTTTTTTGTCAAAATGGCATTTTTCAATTAATTCCCTGTAATATAAATACCACTAAGTATTGTATGGTAATGAATTGAGCCCTCTTTCAAGATACTTTTGAATAGGAGTACATTGATTTTTGGATGAACAGGTTGAAGGTCAAGGTCACTGTTGTCAATGTATATTTGTTCCGCCTAACAGAAGTTCCACTGGAAACTTTGTTATAAACAATGTCATAATATTTGTTCCTGTTGGAACAAATATTCTATACCATTTGTTCCGTTAGGAACATTTACTGTAATATTTATTCCAGTGGAAATAATATTCCAGAATATTGTTTCCATTTTGAACTTATATTATGAAGGAACTTCTATTCCGTGACACCTGTTACTAAAATTAGAATATTTTTAATTAAGGTTTCGGAATTGTCATAAATCATAAAATATGCAATACTTTCATGATAAATTATGTGAGTAAAATGATTATCAGCCATATGAGAATACTTTTGACAAGTAAGAATTTAAAAATACATTAATTTTCAACCATTTGAAGCTGTGAGAATCAATGCTGTACAGGGGTAATACCACCATAGTTTTTCCCCTATTAGTCTTTGTTAAATTGGCATTTTTCAAAAAATTGTGCAGAATTTATCTTTGTTTCAAATAAAAAAATACTTGGCGTGAGTAAATTTTAATCCTGTCCAGTACTACAGTGAAAATTTCACATTACATTTCATTGCATAAAAGATAATAACCATCACTGGAAGTAAACCAATTAAATTTTCACCCCTTTTTTTCCGTAAGGTAAGTTTTATAGATTTTTTAAAGACTTTGTATTATTGTAATGTCAGAGGAATAATATTTTGAAATTATTTTTTTCTTCATTTTTTTTACAACACTTTTCTAATTTATTTGTATAAATTGCTTATTTCTTGACCAACTTCAATGTGGTTTAATTCAAAGTCTTGAATTCATGTGGTTCTTTGATATGCTGTATCTAACCGTGTATTTAGATTTAAGATTTTGGGCTCTGTATTTGAATTGGTACAAGGGTTCAAAATTAAACTTTGTTTGATTTCATCAAATATTGAATTATTGGTGTTCTTTGATATGCCGAATCTAAGCATGTACCGGTATTTAGATTTTAATTTTGGGGCCTTCTTTCAAATAGGTCCACATTAAGGCCCAAAGGGTCCAAAATTATAAAATTTTAATTCTTTGGGTTCTTTGACATGCTGAATCTAACTGTGTATTTTAAATTTTTGATTTTGGGACCGGTTTTCAAATTGGTCCACATAGTCCAAAATTCAACTTATTTTGATTTTATGAAATGAATGCAAGGGGTTCTTTGCTAAACTGTATCTAAGCATGTATTTAGATTTTTGATTTCAGGCAAAGTTTTCAGTTGGTCTAAACCGTGATAAAAAATTAAACTTTGTTTGATTTCAACAAAAATTAAATGTATGTGGTTCTTTGATATTCTGAATTTAACAATGTATTAAGATTTTGAATTTTGGGCCCCTTTATCTAATTGGTCCACATTGATGTCCAAAGGGTCCAAAATTAAACTTTGTTTGAATTAAATAAAAATGAATTAATGGGATTCTTTGATATGCTGAATCTAACCGTGTATTTAGATTTTGGAAATTGGGCCATGATAGGTAAAAGTCCAATTTCAAATTTTTCAGTTTTTCGACCACATTCATTCTGTGTCAGAAACCTATGCTATGTCAAATATTTAATCACATTCCAAATCCAGAGCTGTATCAAGCTTGAATGTAGTGTCCGTACTTGCCCCAACTGTTCAGGGTTCGACCTCTGAGGTCTTATCAAGCTGCAACCAGCGGAGCATTTTATTATTTTTGTGAAAATTGCAACGGGATGAGTTTCGTAAATTGAAAGCATTAATTGCTTGCAGCATTTACTGAAATCACAATAATTAGCCTCCTATGTTTGTCAATTGTTCAACAATCACAATAATAAATGGTCACAAAAATTTCTGAATTTATAGTATATGAAATTATGCTAAATTTCTTGTTGGAATCTTATGAAATCTATACTTAACGGTTATTATCAGCTGTGATCAACTAATTATATGGGAGTTATGCACTCTCAGCCAACATTTCTTGTAGGATTTTTTAAAAACTTTTATCAAAGGTCAATATGAACAATTTTGGAAACCTGAATGATCTATGCACTTGAAATGGAAAATTATTGGATTATAACAGGTAAAGGTAATTATCTTACCTCCTATACATTTCTAGGAATATCATTGGTTAAAAGTGAACATGTGGAGACCTTGGATATTTAATATGGGGTTAGTGGGTGTTTTTTATTTTAATATACAGTAAGTAGCTGTGTTACGTCCCTTTATAAAAACAACATGACTTTGAAGAATAATCTGAAACATTTCGCCCAAACAACAGATGAAGAAATTGATGAAAAATGACTGAAAATAAATGCAGAAAACACATTAAAGCTAACAACTTGTTATTGTTGGCATTTGTTTTGTATAGAAGGTAAGTTCTTAATATTGAAGACTTGATCACTTTGATAGGCCACTAGTCTAAATGCCACATGTTAAGATAATTGGTAAGATAAATTTGTTACACAGTGTGCTAGTGACCTAATACGATATATTATATGGGGTCAGTAAATTGCTAGTGACCTAATACGATATATTATATGGGGTCACTAGCACACTGTGTAACTAATAATATGTCCTGCTTCGGGGGACATTTAAATAAAATTATTGTGAAAGTAGTGTGCATTTTAAAAACCATTTTAAAAAATTGATTTAACCACTTTTAAATTGCTTGGGTAGTGATAATTTAAAAATGATCCACATTCTTATTTGCACAAAACATCTGTGCCAAACAACCAATAAAGCCACCTGACTATCTAAAAATAGTTTTAGTTTTAAAGTATTACTTCACCTTTAATTTTTTATACGCCCGTCAAATTTTTGACGGGACGTATTATGGTATACAAATGTCCAGCGTCTGTCTGTCCGTCTGTCTGTCCGGCGTAAACATGTCGCACCGTAACTTGAGAATGACTTATCCAAATTTCATGAAACTTAACATAGTTGTTTCTTATGATGGTCAAACGATCTGTATACTTTTTGGTGAAAATAAGATTAAAACATTTTGAGTTACAGGACTTAGTAACTAAAACAGGTGTGTGTTTTTTTTCACATGTCGCGCCGTATCTCAAAAACAATTTATGATTATTGCTTAAAACTTTACACACTTCTTAGTAATATTAATCTTAAGATCTGTATACTTTTTGGTGATGATTCAAAATTTTATTTTAGAGATATTGAGTATTTTGTTAAAAAAGGGGGAGGGGTTTTTCACATGTCGCGCCGTATCTCAAAAACAGTTTATGATTATTGCTTAAAACTTTTCACACTTCTTAGTTATATTAACCTTAAGATCTGTATACTTTTTGGTGATGATTCAAAATTTTATTTTTGAGTTATTGAGTATTTTGTAAAAAAAGGGGGAGGGGTTTTTCACATGTCGCGCCGTATCTCAAAAACGATTTATGATTATTGCTTAAAATTTTACACACTTCTTAGTTATATTAATCTAAAGATCTGTATACTTTTTAGTTTTGATTCAAAATTTATTTTTGAGATATTGATTTTTTTTTTTTTAAAGGGGGGTTTTCACATGTCGCGCCGTATCTCAAAAACGATTTATGATTATTGCTTAAAATTTTACACACTTCTAGTTATATTAATCTAAAGATCTGTATACTTTTTAGTTATGATTCAAAATTTTATTTTAGAGATATTGAGTTTTTTGTAAAAAAAAAAGGGGGTTTTCGCATGTCACGCCGTATGTCAGAAACTATTTATGCTTATTGCATAAAAATTCACACACAAGACGACGGGCGTATCATGCGCTCATGGCGCAGCTGTTTATTGATATAAATGGATAAGTTCAAGTCAAAGTTTTTACTCAAATTTAGTTAATGTGTTACATATTTGCATACCAGACATACAACCTCAGTAGATGCTTCAAAAAGATTATTTATCTATAGATTCTACCACCGCATCAAGTTTGATATCCACTGGAAACAGTTAAATTTTCAAATTTAAGACGTAAGGCTTGCTTATCTTTTTGAATATTGAAAATTTACCTATCAAGATTGGAGAAATACTGTATTGCACAAGATTCTGTGGTGGAATCTGTTTATCTCATGATTTTTAAGTGATATATAAGCAAGCTTTTTTCACTGATCTGCAAAAAGATCTGTGACATCATCAGGCATGGTAGCCTTTTTTCATAGTGTCACAATAGAATTTTCAGAGGAGAGCAAGAACATTTGACGTCATAATGGAATTTTGAGTCATGACCAATGACGAGCTGAGATCAAAAGACCACACGTTAATTATAAAAAAATAATCAACGTGTCTGGAAAAGTTAAAATCGGGTAAGGATTGAAGAAGCTATTGTTATGAGTAAAGTAATGTTGACCTGTATTTGATATTTTTTTTTGTCTTCAGGTGGATTTAGCAGTTGAAGAAATATTTAAGATTTTACCAGATGTAACAAATTCTTTGCTAACATGTGAAATACAGGAGTTCGTGAGTTCACAGCTTGTTAGTAAAGCAGTTGATTCAGCAAGACATGTGGTGATGTTAGAGAAACAGGTAAATCAGGCTCAAAATTTAGGTACTGATATACAAAAAAACACTGATTGCAAATGTATTTGTTAGGACTCAGATCTTATCTTGTCAAGTGAAATGTAACATACTGTGGAACATTATTATTCCTTGGAGACTGATTTTGTGTATTTCCTGAGTAAAGGTGAACTACAAATTTAAATGTTCAACGAAGAACACATTTTCTATAGAATGTATGTAGACTGGCAAAACCACGAAATCAAATTTCCACGAAAATACATTTTTTTCTCAATCGATGAAAATTGATATCCACAAAAATAAATGACTTCACAGTAGGTATTCCTTTCCTTGTAGAAGTAACAATTGTAATTTCATTCTCTATCTTTGCTTTGATCATTTAAAATTTGTATGGTGCTATAGCTAAAACCTTAGAAAATACTGTATCCCATAGAGGTAGCTAAAACCTTAAAAAATATTGTATGGCATTAAATGTATACATGTATATATAATCAGGAACATATATATATATATAGATATACTGTTCCCAGATATAATATGATGAAATAAAAATTATTAATATAATTGTATTAAATTGGATTATTTATTACATAGAAATATCTTCAATTTTTTTAGTGGAATTTATTACATTAGCTTATATTGATTATGTTTTCTATCTTTTATGGTCATTAACTCTAACAACAATCTAACTATAAACATGACGGCCAATTTTGAATAAATTTTTTAAAAAATAAAATGTCATTAATGACAGTTAAGGAAAATCTTTTAAATGACTAATTGCATTTATCATTATATTTTTTGTAAATGATCATTTTACATTTGTTCTGCCCTTTAAGAAATATAGTGATTTCCCCAAAACCTTCCTCAAACAGTGTTATTGAAAATAGAAAAACTTCCAAAAATTTTTCAAAAAAAGCATGTAATATGTAATTGCTACCCAATTTGTTGGAAATGAAACGTGTGATTTCTCCTTCAAGAATTATTGACATTGAGCACAACTGTCATCAAATATGATGCCACCGTGTCTATCTGTAAAATCAAACTACTGGAAAAGATTTCTGTCAGTCTGTGCTGCCATTTACACTTTAAATTTTGAGAAATACTTCGTTTATAAATTTAGTATTATTACTGATGAACCCCAACTGTTTTTTAACCTGAAACTTTGATATAATTTGACAGAAATTCAACCAAATTGTGTTCTGATACACATTAGTAAAAAAATAACCAAAGTGAGTGGCAAAGTATTCTTGGATTCTCTAGTTTTATTAGTAACACAGAGAACAAGCGTAAGCCTTTTAAGATACATGTACTTATTAACAAGGTGTAGAAATATAATTTTTCATTCCAGATTGAGAAGCAGAAACATGAACAACTAAAGATCAATATTGAAGAATTTGCATCAGTTGCAAAAAGTAAGAAGTTGTTATGAATAAGACATACTATTTGGAATGTTTTGTCTATCTGATTTTACTTTATGAATTATGAACCTGTTCATTAATCCAAGACATGCATATTGCCAGTTCATACAACAGAGATTAATCTAAGGATAATTATCTTTTAGCAACAGGGGCAGAGCATCTTTAAAAAGGATTCAATTACTTTCTTGTTTTTAACATTAACAATTCAGTCAAAAACCAAAAACAGAGCAACTTGATTAATAATGATTATCTTTAGATGACCAGGCAATTTAAAGTACATGTTTTCACATGAAAAGGTTTAGTAAAGTATAAGTAATGTGTAATACACATTTCACTACATCTTTCACAAGGGTGAGGTGCACCTATGTATGATCCTCGACTCTCTTCATGGGTTTACTATGAGGGTTGAATAGCTGACACATGGTAGAGTAGATGGCTGGGTTGATGGTCAAGATTGGGCCTGACTGTGGTTGTCATGAAGTATATATTACAACAGACACATTGTCCATTGTAAATGTTAATTATTTCCACATTCAAATATATATATATATATTAAACTTCTCGTTTAAGACCAAAACTTGGATGATAACAATTACAGAAAGATATCTTAATCCTTCATCTCAGATATTAAAGAAGGACTAACTCTGATTGGGCAGTCATTTATTTCATGACTGTCGGGTAAAACAATTATAAAAGTAGAAGAGAATTGAAGCAAAGGTATTATTGAATTGATGAACTTCAACATAATGGACACATTGTCAAGAACTGTGAAAAGGATTGTACACAGTCATGAAATAAATGACTGCCAAATCAGAGTTAGTCCTTCTTTAAAAAAGGTTGAACTATCTCTTTAAATCCCACTATTAAAAACATAAAATCTCTTGCGTAACCAAACTTAAATTTCAAACACAACATTACATAATAAATACATTTTTACTTAATTAACAAAGGAAATGACAGCTTTAACCAAAAGGTGCTTAATTCAGTTTAATTATCAATTAATTTCAAACTTATCATTTAAGACCAGAACTTGGATGATTACAATTACAGAAAGATATCTTAAAGGGAAAGTCCGCGATTTTTTACTTATCATCTAAATATGTTCATCTTAACATAAAAAACACATTCACAAAGTTTTAAATTTATATTCTTTCTAATAACGGAGAAAATCAAGTATTTGTAACTTTTTTGGTTGACCTACGTCACTGAGTTGTGACGTTTTAACCCGATTTGTTGAATCATGGGAAAAAATAAAATCTGTTAAAGTCTTAATTGCTTATCAGAATTTTACGTAATTAAAAGCGCACAGATGACCGTTGGTCGTAGTTAATAACCACAATATAAGAATGAAAGAAAATGAATATGTGTGTACCGTTTTGTATTGATTGAATAAAACTTCCTATTTGAAGTTATCTAAATATAAATATTTTCGAATTAATTTCATAAATTATTGAGATTTTTTCATAAAATATCTATAGAACATTTTTACTGATATTGAACTGAAAATATTTTAAGTTTTATTTACCGTTATAACTTTGATAACCATTTCAATGCAAAATGTTTGTGAACAGAGTGTGTATATTATTTTGTAAAGTCATTGTTTATTTCTCGATTTGAGGAGAATCGTTTGAACTTTACCTTTCAGCAATTTAGCCTCAGGCGTACACAGGTGTGAATTCAAGCGTACACAGGTGTGAATATTGTCATTTTGAATGGATTAACAGAAAGAGTATAGCGTGTTTAATATACCCAGATGAAATACCCGATGACAATAGAGAAACAATAATTAAATTGTATAAATTAATTGAAAATTAATAACATTCAACTTTTTAATTCCGGAAGTGTTACAATATTAAAATAGAACAATTTTCGGTTACGTTCTATGCAATTAGCATAAAGTTAAGATATGAAGTTAAAAGAATAGTACTTTTAATCTTAAAAATTAAATGTTACATTTCCCAATTAATAATCATTGCACATCTGTTTAATTTACTTTACCGGAATTCTTTAACTTGTATTTAAATCTGGCGATGTTTAAATGCTAACAATCGTAAAACTATCGCAATCTTAAAGTTTTTAATTGAAAAAGTACAACAGTACAACATGTATGATTTTTTTAAATTTTCTTATTAACATTTCATTCTTACATAATTTAATTCATTTGAAAATCACTTAGACAAATTATTTGTGAAAAGAATACCAATTATCGTTTATTTCATTAATGAATATACATACATTATAAATCTAAGCTAATACATTAATTTATTTGAGGATTTTTTTTAGGATAGCCGTCATTAATTCAAATTAGTAATACAGTTGTTGTAATTAAAGGCATATCTTAGTAATGTATTACTGATATTGATGATTTTAGAACAGTTCACCAAACCTCGTTGTTCTTGAAACAATCTTTACTAGTATACTTGTAAGTTTCCTGACGCATAAGTGCCATTGAGGATGAGCTCCAGAGATAGCAGACTAGTAGCGTATTTGTTTGTAAATTGGGGCAGGAGAGGCCATGCAACCACTTGTACAGATAAACATGCTTATGTCGTCAACACTATCAGAAAGAGTTCCCATCATCAGATGGGATATATGAAGGTTCCAAGAATGAACTATTGACATGTCTGACTCTGAACAGTTAGTAAACGGACTTAACAATGATCTATAGGCATCGACCGCTTGTTCTTGATATTTGAAACTGCATGCATATATACGTTTATGAGAGTGATTATTTATCTTGTGTCTGACGAAAACTAAATGCCTGCATGGTTATATCTTGCCATACGTTTGTATTGGTTTAGTGGGTGTTCACTCAGAATCGTAATTCAAAAATTGTGTTTGTGAGATGTAGATTCACTGCAATACAGAATTTCGTCTATATATTTCACAAGTGTATACCACGGAGAAGATCTGAAGGTATATTACTCCCAATTTGTTTGGGTGTGAACCATCGATGTTTACAGCAATATTTAATGAATAAGATGATGATGGTAGAAAGAACTATGAGCGTCATGTGGAAAATATTACATGCATGTCGGACCATGAGTTGTCAATCTGTATGAAAAGATTTCCAATACAACCATACTGAGTAGGAATTTTTACATGCTATACTCTCGTACTAGTATTACAGGGTACTTGTGTCGTTTAACTCAGACACACATCTTTTACTTTAAGATGTATGAAAGGTTCTAAATGTATATATGTATCTTAAATGTAACAATAATCAAACGCATATAGGCAATCACTAAAATGGTATGAAGTTTTTATACAGATTTATTCTTATTTACACAATCATTAACAAACTAAATAAATTTAACAAAGTAACACCGTGACACTACGATATAACAAATGGGATACTAATTATTTTTAACCATGCTATGCAGAAACTTAACACATCAAGCAGGAACATATATATTTATATACTGTTCCCAGCATCAAGTTAGTGCACGTGAATACCAATAAGGAACATGATGTGTGAATTTGTATAACTAAAAATATCAAAGTGAGCAATAACTTTGTCAAGCAAACATTTCTTTTCACTATACCTCTCTTTATCTCCGCTCCTTTACAATAACTATTTCGCTTTTCGTCGATCATTCTCTATATTGTTCTCTATTCGGTTATTTTTTTTTCACTATGCCACTCTATCTCCGCTCCTTTTTCCCCTGTCGTCCTAATCCTTATAAAGATAGGGACATTAGACATATATAGAAGGGGCTCTCTTATCTTCAATGAATTAATATGGATAGTGACTATAAGTGCTGCATTACTTTATATATCTGCATGTTTGCCAATCGACAAAAGCTTGTATTTGCGTGAAGAATTTTTTTTTCTCAAAAATATGGTCCAGAATCATGACAAAACAATATTCATTTTACCAAAATGTTCAAAGGTCATGTTTATAATTTTTTTAAACTTATTATCAGCAAAAATAGTGGATAATATTATTATAATAACATCATTCATTAAAAGGTGGAATTATAATTTCAAACACACACACGATAAACAACGTTAGACACAAATATATGGTTCAATAAATGTTACCTGTGCACACCGGGTACCTCAATAAAGAGGCCATGCATGAACCTGTATTACATAATTGTGTAATACGAATTTTTAGTTGACAGGATGTCACTGGAATACCCAGGAACGTGTATCTAATATACGTCCTTGGAATACCTAACTGAATGTGTCGCTCTGACACGACATCTATCAATAATTCTGACATACCTATTATCAATTCGGGAGGAAGCCAAAATATATATATAATAAGATAACGTAAATAAAATTTAAATTTCCGACCGTGCAAGGGCTGTATAGCCAGTCAAGGTCGTTAAAAACTTCCATTTGTAAAATTTAAAAAGAAAAAAAACCTATAAATTTTTCACCGAACATACCAGAAAGAGTCACACATTTAACTGTAAAGCTTAGTGTCTTTATAAGTGACTGTTCCGAATTGATCCCGTATCAATTTGATATAATTTAAAGATTAGTTAAAAAAAAAAAACACTTTTAATAAAAAAAATCGAGATGTCCGATATTTACATATCTATAACCTGGGAATATTATACTATATCAACATATTATGTCCCAGCTAAAACCTCTTCCTAACATTGCTCCTTGTCAATAGCCGTTAAATATCATAATTAAAAAAATGTTATTTTATATCGTATAACTTTATTAATTGAAAAATTATCTTGTCTAAATACGGAACTATTCTTTATACAAATCAATGCACTTTATATAAAAGAGGCATACTAATGAATCTTCTGTAAATCAGTGATTGTTACAAGAACACTGCATTTGTCTTTCTTATAATTGAAACTGTTCTTCCTCATCAAATCTATATTTTTTTTATTCAACAAGATCTTATCATATAAGGATTTGATAACTATAGCTATCAGAACTGCTAGGTTATTTTGTTATTAAAAAAGGATAATTACCATCGAATCTCCCTCGAAACAATATTGTTCAAAATGGTCTTCACACACCAA